TGGGATGAGCTAGAAAATATTGTGGATGAGCTAAAAAAAAATACTGGGGAACAATGGGGATGAGCTAAAAAATATTGGTGATGGTCTAGAAAATATTGGGGATTAGCTAGAAAACAATATGTATCAGCTAAAAACTAGTGGGGAATATTCAGGATGAGCTAGAAAATATTAGGGATGAGCTAGAAAATACTGGTGATGAGCTAGAAAATACTGGTGGACAATGGGGATGGGCTGGAAAATGCTTGGGATGAGCCTAAAAAATGGGATGTGCTGGGAAAATACTGGGGAACAATGGGGGTAAGCTAGAAATTAGTGGGAAATATTAGGGTATGAGCTAAAAAAAAATACTGAGGAACGTTGGGAATGAGCTAAAAATACTGGGAATGAGCTAGAAAATAGTGGGGAGGAGCTAGAAAATGTTAAAGATGAATTACAAAATACTGGGAATGAGCAACAAAATATTAGGGATGAGCTAGAACATACTGGGAATGAGCTAGAAAACAATATGTATCAGCTAAAAGATAGTGGGGAATATTCAGGATGAGCTAGAAAATATAAGGGATGAGCTAGAAAATATTACGCATTAACTAGAAAAGAGTGGGGAATATTTGGGATGAGCTAGAAAATAGTGGGAATTAGTCAGGATGTTCTAGACTAATATTACCGGTGAACTAGAAAATATTACGGAAAAGCTAAAAAATACTGGGGATGAGCTTGAAAATATTTAGAATGAACTAGTGAATACAGGGGATAAGCTAAAAAAAATACTGGGGACGAGCTAGTAAATATTAGGGATGAACTAGAAAATATTACGCATAAGCTAGAAAATAGTGGGGAATATTCGGGATGAGGTAGAAAATAATAGGGATGAGCTAAAAAATAGTGGTGAATATTCGAGGTGAGCTGGAAAATATTTGGGATGGATCTAGGAAATTTTAACAGATCTCCTAAATACTGAGGATAAGTTATATAAATTGAGGGATGAGCGAGAAAATATTTTGGATGAGCTAGAAAATATTGGGGAACAATGGGGTTTGGCTAAAAAATACTTGGGATTAGCTAAAATAAATTTGAGATTCGCTAGAAAATACTTGAGAACAATGGTTATGAGCTAAAAAATACCTGGGATGAGCTTGAAAATATTAGGGATGAGCTAGAAAATACCGGTGAAAATGGGGAGGAGCTGGAAAATGCTTGGGATGAGCTAAAAAATGGGATGTGCTGGGAAAATGCAGGGGAACAATGGGGTAAGCTAGAAATTAGTGGGAAATATTAGGGATGAGCTAAAAAAAATACTGAAGAACGTTGGGAATGAGCTAAAAAATACTGGGAATGAGCTGGGAAATAGTGGGGAGGAGCTAGAAAATGTTAAGGATGAATTACAAAATACTGGGAATGAGCAACAAAATATTAGGGATGAGCTAGAACATACTGGGAATGAGCTAGAAAACAATATGTATCAGCTAAAAGATAGTGGGGAATATTCAGGATGAGATAGAAAATATTAGGGATGAGCTAGAAAATACTGGCAATGAGCTAGAAAATATTAGGGATGAATTGCAAATAACTGTGGATAAGCTAGAAAATATTATGGATGAGCTCAAATATATTGGAACGAGCTAGAAAATATTAGGGATGCGCTAGAAAATAGTGGGGAATCTTTGGGATGAGCTTGAAAATAATAGGGATGAGCTAGAGAATAGTGGGAATTAGTCGGGATGAACTACAAAATATTACCGGTGAACTAGAAAATATTATCAATGAACTAGAAAATATTACGGAAAAGCTAGAAAATACTGGGGATGAGCTTGAAAATATTAAGAGTGAACTAGTGAATACAGGGGATACGCTAAACAACACTGGGGACGAGCTAGTAAATATTAGGGATGAGCAAGAAAATAGTGGGGAATATTCGGGATGAGGTAGAAAATAATAGGGATGAGCTAGAAAATAGTGGTAAATATTCGAGATGAGCTGGAAAATGTTAGGGATGGATCTAGGAAATGTAACGAATCTCCTAAACACTGAGGATAAGTTAGAAAAATTTAGAGATGAGCTAGAAAATATTGTGGATGAGCCAGAAAATACTGGGGAACAATGGGGATGAGCTAGAAAATATTGATGATGAGCTAGAAAATATTGGGGATGAGCTAGAAAATATTGAGGATGAGCTAGAAAATAATATGTATCAGCTAAAAAATAGTGGGGAATATTCAGGATGAGCTTGAAAATATTAGGGATGAGCTAGAAAATAATGGTGGACAATGGAGATGAGCTGGAAAATGCTTGGAATGAGCTAAAAAAAAATTGGGATGTGCTAGAAAATACTGGGGAACAATGGGGATACGCTAAAAAAAAAGGAGTGAGAAATATTAGGGTATGTGCTAAAAAAATGACGAGGAACGTTAGGAATGAGCTAAAAAATACTGGGAATGAGTTAAAAAATAGTGGGGAGGAGCTAGAAAATGTTAAAGATGAATTACAAAAAACTGGGGATGAGCTACAAAATATTAGGGATGAGCTAGAACATATTGGGAATGAGCTAGAAAACAATTATGTATCAGCTAAAAGATAGTGGGGAATATTCAGGATGAGCTAGAAAATATTAGGGATGAACTAGAAAATATTGGCGATGAGCTAGAAAATATTAAGGATGAATAACAAATAACTGTGGATAAGCTAGAAAATAATTACGTGTGTGCGCCTAGAGAAAGGTACCAAAAGTTGCCCCAGACCGTTTCCAGCTACAGGCTGATCATGACAAAAATCACTTTTTTAACCAAAATGTGTTTCCATAAAAAAATGATAGATTCAACATTTTTTTACCATGTGCTCAAAGGGTTTTCGTTGATAAGACTTTTTAATGTTTTATTTTGAATCATTTTGAGGGAAGGGTATCATAAAAACAAATAATAAAAACTGCTTTTAAAAGTTGTTAAAACCTATTGTTCAAGCACGTTTTCTCTTCCCGGCTAGGTTTCACCCATTGAATTCCATTCATGATATCGATGTCAACTGAATGCCAAATTGGAAATGAATTTTCCATGAATAAATTGTAAAAAGTTTGTATGTGTTCTCATGTTTGTTAAACTTAAAAAGCTCATTTTCTCAAAATTATATCTTTATGCCCTACCTCGCAAAATGTGTGCAATATCTCAAAAACTACTTGAGATATCTAAAAAAAAAATTAAAAAATTAAAAACCTCCTGAGTTCAGCATTGAATTTCGTATAAGGTACAACTACAACCCTTAAGCCTTAACTCAAAATGGTCAAAATCCGACTTTTGGTACCTTTCTTCAGGCACACACACTTATATGTTTTAGTAATCAATAAATGGAAAATTAATAATCTGGCTTTAAAGATTTTAATACGGCCATTGATGGTCTTCATCACTGGGGAGTCTAGGACAGGGGTTGTGTAGTCAAGTATAAACAGGACAATAACAAGGGGGGGGGGGGGGACGAAAAAAGATCTCGCCGGGCTAGACATTGTCCAGTTAATTTTTTTTAAGGGGAGGGGGGGGGGGGGAGGAGTTACTGCTGGCAAAAACCAAAGAAACCTTTGGAACTACGAGATACATCACAAGTCTTTGATCCTGATTGAGCATCACAACAAGGCATGCCAGGCATCCACCATAGCTATTTGCTTACAAGTTTTAAACAATGATCCATTCTTTAACTTTAACCCTATCCGTACGTCGTGTTTTAGTTTTAGTTTTACTATCGTATCCATACGACGTGGGGAACTCTGTGACACCATTTTCCTCGGAAAGAGGAAATTTACTCGTTAATCCAATCCGTACGCTTTGCATAGCAGTCTGTCAGAATGAATTTTTGAGAAATACCGAAAGTCTTAAAGAGATCTTCGTACTAGAAGTATTCTAAAATGTGAAGAATACAACCCCGGGGGTACAAAATGACCCCAGGGCGTACGGATAGGGTTAACACTTCTTACGTCGAACGTTTTTCTAAGGCTGTCCCCGTGGTTTTATGCACCTAGCATAATTTAGCAAAATTTGATCATTTTTCGCATAATTTCCGATTATTTTCCTTTATCATTCTACGTTTAAAAAATTTACAGAATTGCATAATTTCACATTTTCCGGCCCAGTTTTGAATAATTTCAGAATTTTTCTTGCATAAAACGACAGGGACAGCTAAGGGCAAAGTGGCACTGAGTGACTACTACAACTACAACGGCTCAATGCAAAGAGAATGTTACAGTACTGAGATCGACAGCTGCACCTCACATAATGACGTAGACTGTCTCAACTATCTGGTATCCTGTAAGTTTTTCTCCCCTAATAATACACTGGGAAGGTTGGCAGTGGGTTGAGGCAGCCATAATATTTTAGGTTTTTTTTTAGTTAAGTAAGAGTTTTACGGCACTTGCAACACAATAAGGTCATATAAGTGCCGAAGAATAGATTAAGTGTTACAAGAGAGTAACATACACAAAAAAGGAGGAGAGATGAGGACGACAGATGTGATGGGAAAGAAGAAGCAAACCACACCAGAACACCCACGCCATAATATTTAATAATCAAACACGTGTATTGCAATTGCATTTTCGCAAAACTGAATAAAAATCCACCAAATTCTTACTGATGGGCAGCCCTTGAGCAATCGCCATTTTCCCCCGCTCCAGGCAAGTTTTAAAAAATAGTTTTAGTAGAAGTTTTACAGCCCTCACAACTGCATAAGGTCATATGAGCGCCAGAAGATTAGAGGTGTTACAAGAGAGTAAAAAAACATTAAAAGTTTAAAAAAGAAAAGGGGGAGATAAGGACGATAGATGTTTGATAGGACAGAAGAAGAAGCAACCCACCCAGAGCACCCGCCAACCACCCGCTCCAGGCAAGTAAGAGAACAGTTCTGCACGGAACATCCATGTCATGACTGCCAGTTATAAAATAAAAACACTCAAAGGTAAAAACACAAAAAAGGAATACAACTCCAAACTGATTTCAAAGTAGTATAAACAAAAAGAAAACGAGATATCACGCTTGAGAATTTCTTTTTAATTATTTTCCTGAACAAATGACAAGTTTGACAAGTGCATGGGGGTGAAATTCAATTTGTATTTATTTACGCTTTAAAACGATGTACATTCCTGTAAAATATCAAATTGAGAAGCGTAGGCCAAGCCTGATAATGTGCCACACCCCTCTCAAGCTGCAACGACTGGAGCCTTTCTCCATTCTCCAGCGTCAAACACGACAAAAAAAATGCCCTCGTGACACGCTGCTCCCACCTCCACTCTCGTACACACACACTACGTCACACACACATACTGATGATTACCCCTCTCATGTTTCTTGCTCCAATACGCCCTTCCGACCCTGCGCTCTTGAAACGGTGGCAGATACCTATGACCTTTTTTTTCTTCAAAAAAGTTAGGAGAGGGCTATGGCCTGGCCTATGCTTCAATTTGAAACTTTACATACACACAAGAATCATCAAGTATTTATAAATGTATTTATATATTCATAATATAGAAACAGGCATAGGAGGAGTGGGAGAGTGGAGGACCAACATCTCACACCTCAAATCAAACCATCTATTGTGTTATGTGTTGACTTCACTCTTCTAGTTTATCATTGCTTCTTAAATACATTCACACATGATTAGGACCCAGACTCAATAGAGACGCCTGTTGCACTTATCGCAAACACACATGCTCAAGTGAACATTTTTCATTTATATATATATATATACGTACTAGTACATCATACACGTGCAAGTAAATATACCATCTATCAACATTCAATTCATCAGGCACATCTTCTTTCAGTCGCTAAGAAGAATGACGAGGGGAAAAAACCACCCATAAAGAACAATGGGCTGAAAAAACAAACTCTGATGCAGATACGGTCAACTCCTGGTGAAACAACTAAAAAAGAATGATCTGAATGAAGGTCATGCTTAAAAAGAAAAAAACCGAACCAGTTGGGACACTCACAAATATACAATATAAACACCAAGCAAGGACTCAAGCTTCACATCAGGATGATCAATCAATCGCACCTTCTACAGCATTCTAGAACCCCCAGTAGCGCTAGTAGCTGGCATAGAAATATTAGAAAAAACTTCCATTTTCCAGCAACACTAGCAGCTGACTGGTATAGAAAGAACATTCCATTTTCCAGTAGCACTAGCAGCCGGAATAGAAAGTACCTTCCATTTTCCAGTAGCACTAGCCAGCTGGTATAGAAAGTACCTTCCACTAGCAGCTGGTATAGAAAGAACCTTCCATTTTCCAATAGCAGCTGGTATAGAAAGTACCTTCCATTTTCCAGTAGCACTAGCAGCTGGTATAGAAAGTACCTTCCACTAGCAGCTGGTATAGAAAGAACCTTCCACTAGCAGCTGGTATAGAAAGTACCTTCCACTAGCAGCTGGTATAGAAAGAACCTTCCATTTTCCAATAGCAGCTGGTATAGAAAGTACCTTCCATTTTCCAGTAGCACTAGCCAGCTGGTATAGAAAGTACCTTCCATTAGCAGCTGGTATAGAAAGAACCTTCCATTTTCCAATAGCAGCTGGTATAAAAAGTACCTTCCATTTTCCAATACCACTAGCACAACCAATCAGATGTGTGTACTAACACAACAGAATGAGTCACATTTTGACAGTATCATTACACTAAGTAAGGGTATCAAGATTCAAATTAACGATCTATTCAAACGCGACAAACGAGTAAAGCCAGTAGGCCTATTAGTCTAGCTGCTTTAGTTCCCAAAATTATAGTCATCACTTGACACAGGGGAATCGGAAATTCTCAGATTTGAGAAAACTCAAGGTCTAGCCGGATACCTCTAAACATCTGAGTGCCACAGGCCACCGACTCATTTGGTCACCACTTCACTCGCCATCAAATTTTCAAACAATGGAGTTTTCTTCTACATATATACCCTGAGCTCTTGCACTCAGAAGATAAATTTTTAATTCACTGTCCCACCTAGAGACTAGAGGTGGACAAGACTTCAATATTGAAATACAATCGTACCTGCTCTGGCAGCTACCTGTCAGAGACAATCACCCGTACAAACCACCATTTCCCGTTCCCCCCCTGCGTTTAAAAAAAAATGTATCAGGACACTGTCTGTTTTTTTGTTTTAGTAACGAGTTTTACGGCACTTGCAACACAATAAGGTCATATATAAGTGCTGCAGATTAGAGGTGTTACAAGAGAGTAACAAACACACAAAAAAAGGAGGGGAGATAAAAACGATAGATGTTTGATAGGAAAGAAGAAGCAAACCACACCAGAGCACCCGTCAACCACCCACCTTAGCACATTCTGCTCCCTCGAGTGACAAGTGAGAAAAGCTTGAAGAGCTTGGGTCTGCTTTGGTCTTAGAACTTGTACCATCACCAAGCATTTTACTTCCTAGCACAAACATTCTTTTCAACATTAGTGCCAGTGGCTAGCAGTTGCTCTGATGTGACTCTTTTTCCAGCTTTCTCACTTTTTTTTGCAACCACTCACACAAAGAAACACATGGCCCTGAGCAACATGTGACATGGAAGCGCAAGAAGAAAGCGAGAGGTCAAAAGGTGTCAAAAGGTGCCAGTAATTCCAAACACAGGCAGCGACACAGGAAATAATCGAGGGAAAAAACAAAACAACCCTACTAAAATAGCCCTTGGCCATCGGTTTTATTTTTATGACAAGAAGAGACTGTTTCAGAATCCTGCTTTTCACAGAGCACATCAACTGGTAGCTTTTAAGAACAAGCGGGCTAACCCAGATTTCGGGGGTTTCCAGAAATCTTGACCTACACCAAAAGTGGGCATTTCCCTACCAATAGGGGAAGTTTGGTTTCATTGGTGTGTGTATTTGTTTGGTTATGAAAAAAAACTCTCATTGTCTTTGAAAGAAACTGAACAAGGGGCAAAAACTTTACCTTCGATTTTCTCAAAACAGCATTTTTCGGGATAGCTCCCTTGTGCTTAAAAGCGACCGACTAAAGAGTCTTCAACTATTTTCAACGTGTGAAAATAACGCTTCTTTTCCCCAGAAACATATCAGAATTCTAAAAATGTGCCCTAATTTTCCACGCCCTTACTTTCCACGCCCTTGAATCAAGACAAAGGCCTTCTCCACACACACTGGCTTGAGCGTGTGTTAAGAAAGACAGCAAAGGAGTCAAAGGAGTGCAAACCCCACTGCGAGGCACACCAGAATTATGCAGCTTAACCTTTGAAAAAAACAAAACATCACTGACATTGACAATCACACAACACCAATCTCCTGGTCTATGGCAATGCACTGATCAGAGCAAACTTCAAAAGTAACGAGTTCACCCATATACCAGACCTGTCACGCCTTGAAACAATCTTTTCATTGTTTTATATAATATATATAGAGAGAGAGAGCTCGTCTCATAATTCCTGTACGAAATGGATACCTTTCCATCACACGACTTGCAGCACTCCAGACTTTTATCATCATCAGCACTGATAGTGATAGCACACACACGGAGAACAAAACTTGCTACGTCTAAGCTCTGGCAGACAAAGATGTGGGGGAAGAGACTTGCAGCTTATTGGTCAAGTGAACTTTGCACTGCATACAGCACAGTAGGGAGAACACTTCGGTCACTTTTGCTGTTCTGAGACGAGAAGGAGGAGATCAAATTCCATTCAGAAACATTGCGCTGCCTTAGAAAATTACGAAGTCCCATCTACTCAGTACATAGTTTTGAGAAATTTTGAGTTTCATAAAATGTCAAGCTTTTTCAAAGCAATTCTTTGAATATATCCTGACAACGACTCCGAATAATCTAACAATTCTGATAGAGCCGATAGACCATTCCGTTTCAGACTGACATATAATGGTCTTAGTCTTAGTACCGTAACTCGAGACGACCAAAAATGTTCAAAAAGAACTTTGTACTTCTGAGGCAGCAATTGCTACAGTGTGTTCCTCCCACAGCGTGTTCCTCCCACAGTGTGTTCCCCCCACAGCGTGTTCCTCCCACAGCTGATCCCCCCAAATCCTGACCGAGCACACTCAACAAGTGCCACTCTCTTCCTCCAACAACCCAGACAGGAAACAATTGTGAGGTGTGCTGACATAATGAGTTACTTCTCGGATTCGAGCCCTATGGGAAAAGATTCATCACGCTAACAGGTGAAGATTTTACAATTTATAAGTATGAAATAATAAAAGACATGTTATACTTAAACAATATGGCATAAAAAGAAAATCTACAAATTTGATCCTAGTGTCGATTTTTTAACCATTATCTCGATTTGTAGAGATTGCGAGAAATAAGTCATTTTGTCAGCACGCCTCACAATTTATTGGTAGCAACACCACACACTTTGTGTCACTCAAAGACACACAGGGGAAACAAAAGATTACACACTAGCAGTCACACGAGGGCATTCGAAAACCACAAAAATTCTCCTTACAACCAATGCCTGTGTAAAAGGGAAATGCAACCAAAAAAGAAAGAAAAAAAGAAAAAAGAAAAACCAGAGACTGAAACATAAACCAACACATCAAGGCAGGAATAATTCACGAATCATCATTTCAAAGGAGGAGTTGCGAGAAACATGCATCAATATCAACAAGTCTGAGAGATCTCCCACAAAAAAAAACCTTGTGATGTTTTTTGTGCTTTGATATCAACCACTGCTGACACAAAGTCCCTCCGTACAGATCGGCTACACACAGGTCAGCACCGTGCCACCGACAACCACGATACATCAGCAAACTCGTGTCATCCAGGGATTTCAAAATAAAAAAGTTACACTGTTAGCATTAACCCTATCCGTACGTCGTGTTTTACTATCGTATTTGTATCCATACGACATGGGGAACTCTGTGCCACCACTTTCCAAAGAGGAATTTTACACGTTAATCCGATCCGTACGTTTTGCATAGCGGTCTGTCAAAGTGATTTTTTGAGAAATACTGAGTTTCAAAGAGATCTTCCCACAAGAAGTATTCTAAAATGTGAAGAATACAACCCCGGTGGGTACAAAATGACCCCAGGGTGTACGTACGGATAGGGTTACGCTACGACTTTTGCCGACAACAAAGAAATGACTGAAACATCTTCATGGTTGCTTTTTATTCTTCAGAGTATTCAGAGATCTAAAACAAGAATGCAGACCAAGTAGCATATATTTTCCCGATCATTCTGGTCACCCAAAACTAAGTCAGGAATCACAAACACACATCGTTTGTTTCGTCAAAGATGAGCCCAGAGCGCAATAGACCAGTGCCAAAGGTCTAGAACAGAGCTAGCGAACCCGCTGAACAGATCAAGTCAGACCGGTCTGTGAGTGGTGAGGAAAAACTAAAAGAACACACGAGAGTACACACCAGTGAAAAGAATCTTGCAGTGAAGACACTACTAGTAAATGTGAGAATAGCTACAGAGCACTGGCCTATGAGAGGGGGGGGGGGGAAAAACCCATTACTTAGAACCACCCCAGCCCTCTTCCCCAGGTAGGAACAGCAAAATGTGCTTGTACGTATGTGAGGTAGTGTGGTGAAATCAGGCGCTCGTCAAAATAATGAAAGTGAAGAAACTGGCATTTTTCCTCAGAATTAGGAATTTGTATCGAATTTTTGTTTTCTGGTTCAACACCTTTCATGCCAATTAAAGAACACATTTCTGGGTGGATTTTTACTGAAAAATGTTGATTAAAAGCATAAAAGACGTACATTTTCAGTTTCCACGGGCTCTCAAACTAAGGAAAAAACTTTGGGGGACATTTTCTCGCTAATTTCACCTCTGAAACCAGGCGACCCCCACCTCCTTCAATGGCAAATATTTCGACTTGTATCCAAGATAAATGAGTATTGGTTTCATCAAAAGCCAGGCAAATGGACAGGGTTTAAGATGATACCAATAACTCAATATGCCCCAAAAATTGACGAGCGCCCGACTCCACCACATCGGGACACATTATTGTTTAGTGATCTGGTGGGTTCATTTTGTGCCGGGTAGTTCATTAGAACAACTGTATGAATCGTTCAAGTGTTAGCCCATTGAGTGTGCTCTGATCCATACTGGCTGACTTTGTGCTTAAGTTGAGACCAGGGTTCCTTCCACGAACTCCACACCAAATTCAAGGAGATTTCAAGGAGAAATTTTTAAAATTCAAGGATATTTGGTCAAGAAATTCATGTCGTTTTCGACAGCGGAATCGCACCCTAATAGCTATTTCCAATGGGCTTACTCTTGTCCAAAATGAATCGTAGTTTTGATTGTCCGACAAAAAATTTATTTATGTCCGATCCTGTGAAATTCAAGGAGTTTTCAATGAGGTTCCTCAAATTCAAGGAGTTTTCAAGGGCTTCTTGAATTCAAGAAGACCGCAGGAACCCTGTGAGACTAAATCAGTTCCCCTCTACTCTGTCCACCTACAACCTCACTTGCTGATTACAGTCTTTTCTTGTGAGGACAAAAACCCTGTCATATGAGAAGAAAGCCTCAATTTGATCACAAAAAAACTAGATCCAAACACTTGTGGGGAGAGCGTAGCCCAGATTTCATTACCACTCCACAACCAAAAGACTGTGAAACTGAACGCAGTAATGTGTGCGCGTAACTTGCCGTTACTTCACCGACTTTGTGGGGGGGAAAATATTTCCGTGCAGACAGATCATACTACCAGTGAATGTGTGCTGTGAACAAAAGATGCTAACACCCCCCACCCCCCCAGCCCACCCACAAATCCTCAAAGAAGACAAACCAGATACAGTGGAGTGACCAGTGATGTTGCAAGAAAAAACAACGGTGACCTCGTCGACAAACACAAGAGTGGGACTAGCTGTACACAAAACACTCACCATATGGGGGGGAGGGGGGAGTGTCACCTAGCACAGGACACATTCATTCTAGGAGAGAACCCACCACTGGACACTACCACCACCTCACTACCTTACAAAACCAGTACACCTCTGTCACTAATGCTGTCATACAGATGAAATCAATAAATGCCCCTGCTGAGAACCAAAAAAACCAACCAAAAAAAAAGGACTAAATGCACATCTATCATTAACACCGAAACAAAAACACACACGCACAACAAAGGTCGTTGGGCAACTGAAAGAGCTATCTTTCACTCCACAATACATAAGGGGGTGGGGGGGTGGGGGTGAGGAAACCCTGTTGCAAAATCTAACCAAAATCAAAGAAAGAAAACAAATATACTCACACACACACAAACACCAAAAAAAAACAAAAAAACAAAAAAATTTACCAGTCCCTAAAAAGTAGTACCAAAAAAAACCCAACTATGTTTTGAATGTCGTATTTCCCAGAACTGTGGTACAACTAGGGGAGACCTTCACGGGGAGGGCGTGGCCACTTGTGAAGACTTAGCTGCACTCCGCGACCCTCCCATCTTCCCCAACTCTCTCTCTGCCCTCCTCACAGGTCGCATAGTTTCAACAAAATCAAAAGGTAGATACCCACTCGAAAAAAACAAAAAGACTTTTTAAAAATAAACCTGTACATGGCACGACTCTCTCAGCGTTTGTACACAACTTTGAAATTGAGAAAGAAGCGAAATTTCAACCTCAGCAGACATTCAACCAACCACTTTTACAAACGACCGACCAAACGGTCGTGAGACTGGCGGAGGAGAGATGAAAGGAAGGAGAAAACCCCACAGCCGACGCCCTAGGAGAAGAGGTCAGCACCATAACCCCCGTAGCTGACGACAGGACGTCGACAGAAAGGCTGGGCGGGACAAATTTGCTGAGGCTAGCGCAGCCGCGCGCGCGCACACACACACACACACCTACTCGCTCACCCACACACAAAAGATAAATCGCACACTCGCACCCTCACACACACTCACATCAACTCGTTCACCCACACACAAAAGATAAATCTCACACTCACACACACACTCGCTGACCCACACACAATGATAAATCGTGCGCACACACACCTACTCACACCTCCACACAATAATAACATGCACAAATACATGCGCGCACACACACACACACACACAAACAAATTCCGCTAGCCAACCAGCCCCCTCCCCTCTCCTCCCAACTTCCAGCCCTGCAATAGTTCTTCACCAGCCAGCCAGGACGAGGACAAGGACGAAGAC